AATAATGATGAAGATAATACATCGTGAAATCATGGTTGATTAAAGTATTTATTAAATGTATTGTTAAAATGAAAGTATTAATTAATGTCAATTATATACATATTTACATTGTGATGCAGAAAGATATATTTATTTTTTTACTGCATTTATGTGTGCTTGTATGGCAAGCCATTTGAGCATTTATTCCAAATCCCTGATATCAGACATGAGTGTGTTACACTAGTTCGATCTTTTTCAGCACTAGTTCGACACTCAGCCACACTAGTGACACACTTTGTCGAACTAGTTGCATACAAACTCCAACTAGTCATTCATTTTCAGCAACATGTTAACTTGTCAATCATGGATTATTCTAACGTGAACTTGTGACCCGTGATTTCCTGCACTAGTAAACAAGTGCGAGCTGAAACACTCACTACTTTACTAGTGGCGGATAAAATAGTAGCTAGTTTACTAGTTAAAGCCCCTTGACGCCTTGATATCTAACTAGTGAGTGTCAAAAATGTTACTTGTTCACTGGTGATGCCCCAAATATACACTAGTTGCACTAGTGCGACATTTAATGTCGCACTAGTGAGGTCTATGGCAAGCCATTTGAGCATTTATTCCAAATCCCTGATATCAAACATGAGTGTGTTACACTAGTTCGATCTCTTTCAGCACTAGTTCGACACTCAGCCACACTAGTGACACACTTTGTCGAACTAGTTGCACAGAAATCCTCACTAGCCACTCATTTTTGGCAACTAGTGCCACTTTTGTCCAACTCGTGCTGACAAAATTCTAACTAGTGACACCTGGAAGACACAAGCAGAGGGAACTTTCCCACTAGTCAGGTTTTTTAATGCCCTAGTAGCCCACTAGACCAAACTAGTGAGGTTCAAAGTCTTACTAGTAAGATTTAAAAAGTGTTAACATGTCAACTAGTGAAACGTGGATTGTTCTAACATGTGAACTAGTGGCCTATGATTTCCTGCACCAGTTAACTAGTGGGAGCTGAAATATCCACTAGTTAACTAGTGGAGGATAAAACATTGACTAGTGCACTAGTTTAAGACCGTTAAAGCCTTGATATCTAACTAGTGAGTCCAAAAACGTTACTTGCTCACCAGTGATGCTCCAAATATCCACTAGTTCCACTAGTGCGAGATTTTGACTTCACTAGTCAAACTAGTCTTCACTAGTCAACTAGTCTTCACTAGTGACTTCACTAGTCAAACTAGTGAAGTCAAAATCTCGCACTAGTGGAACTAGTGGATGTCACCCTCCTCACTAGTCAACTAGTTAAATGGTCTTTTGATTTAAGTAGTTAACTAGTGATGGCAAAATGTTCACTAGTACAACATGTGAAACACTAATGGCTCACTGGTCACACTAGTTACGCTAAATGCTAATCAGGAGGCAGGACAGTGTCAGAAGTGAACACCTCCTATTGGCTCCCTGATAAGAGCTCCACCCAGCAAAAAATTAACCCTGTAAAGCCTGATTCTGAGCTTTCACAATTGTTTATGGCCATTTGCGTAACATCCACAGTATACTGAAGGAATCAAGCAATTTTTACCAATCAATGTATCTGTAGGTGATGTTTATTATGTACACGGAGATAAAGGCTAATGGTACAGCTCTACAGTATCTTTCCACTTTTATATATGTATGCTATACTAAATAAAATGAATACGGCACCATATAATGCAACAGTTCTGCAACATATTCTCCCTAAATGATGATGTGAATTTTCAGTTGTTGCTAAATCAGTTCAGGATGCTATAATTTGTGGTGTAGAATTTAGGAGAGCAGGACAATATATGGCATTGCAATTAGAGCAGCAGCTTGATTGATCATGTCCCCAAACCGGCTCATCTATTATCTTTGTCGTGCAATACAACGAAAATGAACACAGTTGAAAAACATAGGCTTCTTATCTTTTAAAATAAAAAATTCATGTTTACCGTTTTGAGGTTTCTACAATCATGAATGAAGGCATTACAGCAGGTTGACAGCAGTGTGATCGAGCAGGTTAGATGGAGTAGAATTTTATTGGGGCTTCACTGATTTATTTCATACAATTCGTATCCAAAACACAGTTGAAAAATATTTGATTGTTAAAATATTAAAATACAAGAACTATATCAAGAATTTAACAAAACAGTCACTGTTTTTTTTATTAGGAGAAAAGTCTCAAAACATATCACAGATGACAAACGTTGTGCCCACCTCCTCCTGTTCTTCAATGAAGCTGATCACCCTCCAGCTCCCGTTAGAAACATCGTGCTGCTGAAGGTGTGCCGGCAGAATGGTTGTGATGCAGGAGGCGCTGTGGACTCTCCCAGAAATGAGGACCTAGTTTAGTTTAGTTGTAGATCCAGTAAAACATAGTGCAAATGTTACAT